TGTTAGTAGTCACGCTACTACGGTAAACATCAACGTGGCCACTGCGGATAGTGAGTGTGCAGCTGTTCTTTGTCGTCTTTCAGAGGTAACTCAAATGAATGAAAACCCTAGTTCTTTTCAGAACTCTTGCACGGGTATTCAGGAGTTTGTTACATCTGAAGCTTATGGCAAGGAAATCCGAGAAACGTCGATGAAAGCGAAGGTTGTTGGTGTAAATTCTAATACGGTTGCAAGTCCAGATGAAGAACTCGCAACATTTGGTCGCTTAGATTGGACAAAGTCTTTGGCTAATCTTCCATCTTTTATGCACGAGAAGCTTGAGCATAAGCTAGTTAAAAGTAGAAGAGGAAAATCCGAGAATTATGCGAAATATGAAGAAAGGTTAAGGTCTCTGGCGAGAAGGATATGTAAAGAATACAATGGTAAAAGCAAATGTTCCTACTTCAAATGGGGAGGTTGTATTTGTTGTAAAGGCGCGTGTTGGTGCATCTATGAAAATTGTGAGCTACTCTGTATTTGTTCATTTAAATCAGAGAACTGCTGAAGTGGAGTATAGTATTTGTAACTGTAAAGCAGGACAAGGTGAATACTGCAAACATGTCGCAGCGTTACTTTACACAGTGTTAGACTTTGTGAATCTTAAGCTTTCTGCTGTTCCTGCCGAACTTACGTGTACTCAGCTACCTCAAAAATGGAATGTACCATCTGGCAATTCTAAAACTCTTGAGAAAGCTGTAAAATTTGAACACTTGCTTTTTGAAAAGGCTGTTGTAAATAAAACCAATAAACAACATTCTGTAAGAGGTGTTAGAGAGAACTACTGCTCGCCCCCACCATATGCACAAGAACTTACCAAAGAAGACATCAAAATAATAGCAGATGCCTTTCAAAAAGTTAATAGGGCATCATTGTTATGCGAAGCATTTAAATCAAATGAATGTCAGCCCTGTAATACTTTTGAGACTTCTTGCAATCGAATGATAAAGAGGAGAAAGCTGGTGGAGTCTGCCTGAAGATCCATCTTTGTGTATTATAAACAAGGTTTTTAAGAATGTGGCTACAGATTATAGTCATTCCATGAAAGGTGCAAAAGACTAACTGCTTCTATTTTTGGAAAAGTTATAAATCAAAGAAAAACTATACACCCTACATCGTTGCTTAAAACAATCACCAAATCTAACAATTTTTTTAAAAATATACCTCAACCACTAAAGTGGGGTATAGATAATGAGAAGATTGCTCTTGAAAAATACAAAGCTAAATCTTTACTGGAAGAAAATACACACTTAAGTACGATGGCCCCGTAAAAGACATCAGCAAACATAATATGTGGTGGCAAACATTTAAATCGTGGAAGCAAACATTTAAATCATGGATGCAAACTTTTAAATGTGGAAGCAAACATTTAAATCGTGGAAGCAAACTTTTAAATTGTGGAAACAAACTTTTCAATGTGGAAGCAAACATTTAAATCGTGGAAGCAAACATTTAAATTGTGGAAGCAAACATTTAAATCGTGGATGCAAACTTTTAAATGTGGAAGCAAACATTTAAATCGTGGAAGCAAACTTTTAAATGTGGAAGCAAACTTTTAATATAAATCGTGGCTGCAAAATTTAAGCAGCTTGTACCAAAATCGAGCGTATCTTTTTAACGTAAGTTAATAGCGTTGATACTAAAGCGATATCTTGCGAAATGCTCGTTCAACATTCCCATTATGTATTGTATCTTTTGCGGACTCGTTAGTGGAGTTGATGAGATTTGCGACAACTGTTCAGCGCAACCTAACCACGAACAGCTGATAACGCACTACTTTCATTGTGGTTATCCCTATGAAGCGATTGTGGGACTTTTAGAAAAGAAAGGAATTGATATGTGTTTAAGAACTCTAAAGAGGGATTTAAACGCTCTTGGTTTGAGAAGGCGAGGTAATCCCATGCCGATTGAAAGAAATCACATACAGGCTGCAGTTCTTGAAGAAATGCATGGACCTGGCAGAATCTCTGGTTATAGAAGCATTTGGCATGCATTACGTTTAAGGCATTGAATTCATGTTCCTCGCAATTTGGTGGCGGATTTAATGAAAGAAATTGATCCTGTTGGCGTCGAAGAACGTAGAGCCCGAAGATTGAGAAGACGAACTTTCAACTCAGCTGGAGCAAATGCAACTTGGCACGTGGATGGTAGGTACCAATGGATTGACTCACTACAAATATGAGCAAATAGCTTTTAATTAACTAACACGTTTTCTTTCAAAAATGATCAACGCAACAATAATAAACATTAAATCACATCCGTGTTGTTTGTGTAGGATACGATAAGCTAAAGCCTTATGGTTTTCCTATTCATGGTGCTGTCGATGGATTCAGTCGACAAATTTTATGGCTGGAGGTGTCTCGTTCCAACAACGATCCAAAAATTATAGCAATGTTTTATCTTAATCACGTTAAAGAGGTGCATGGTTGTCCAAACCAACTTGTTACGGATTGTGGGACAGAAAATGGAATCGCAGCGACAATACAATGTTTCTTCCGCTCAAATCATGAGGATGAATTGGCAGGCTTAAGATCACACAAATATAGTTCATCTCCGTCCAACCAGCGAATAGAAGCATGGTGGGCTTTCTTCAGAAAGCACAGATCAAACTGGTGGATTAATTTATTTAAAGACATGATTGACTATGGAATACTTGATATGGAAATGTATTCAATGTTGAGTGTTTGTGGTTCTGCTTCTCAAAAGTTCTTCAGAACGATCTTGATAGGGTAAGAGAACAATGGAATTCTCATCACATTACAAAGAGTCAACATAGTAATGTTAATGGAATTCCAGACAGTGGCGTAGCTAGAGGTCATGCTTGTCATGCTGAGCATGACTTACTTTTTCGGCAATTTTGATTTTTTTCGATAATTAATTCTTTGATTTGTCTGTAAGACGTAGCTTTTGCTTTGCAGGCTTTTACAATAAAGTGCATGGAAGAAATGCGCTTGAGTTTTTGGACTACGCATTGTGTTACGCAAAAAAGCCCGCAATTAGGGAAAACCTTAGCCACCTGAGCGCTGGATACGTTGCTTATTGATGACGTTTGAAACTCCTGCTTTCCACTTGAGAGCATGACTTCCTTCGAAAATACGCTTCTTTGATTGGCAAATTAGGCTAAGTTCTTGCATACTTCCGCCAAAAGTCATGCGGAAGTCATGCCATGAACTCATCGCAGGAGTTTGATTGTTTTGACGATACGCTATTATACGATCATATAATTACTTGATTGTTTATTTCGGTCATGGAAGGAGTTGAGCAAAATCAATCGACGATTTCCTTTTCCCCTTTGATGGTCAGGATATAGTAGCAGAGCTGGTAGAGATCGTTTTCCTCACAAAATATTAGTGAGCAGAAACAAATAGCTCGCATGTCAAGGCCGACGAAGCTTACACTAAAGACGAATGATAGGAGCTTTCAAGAAAGTTGGTATTGAACAAGGACTGGCTGTGTGGTAGTGTGAGGAAGAATAGATTGTTTTGCTGGCCATGTCTTTTGTTTCATTCTTCCCTAGAAAGTCTCCATGGGCTTCAACAGGCTATTATAACATGCACAGCTTTTCATTTCTTGACTTAGTCAATCCTAAACTTTTTGTGCAGTGGAAAACAGCTATTCCTAATGAAAAAATTCAACAACTATCAGCAAAATATGGTCCTCTCTTTAATATACCTAGGCTTCGAAGTCAACTTTTTTTTGTGTACCAAGATAAAGATTTTTTAAAAGATAACTCCATGGAATTATTGAAATCATTTATCACATTGGTATTCACCAGTGTATACCCTAATTTGTTAAATTATTGAAACTTAACGCTGTTATTGCCATTTCTAGTGCTTCAGCTGAAAGATCGTTTTTATGTTTAAATAGGGTGAAAACTTTTTTAAGGAATTCAATGGGGGATGAACGCCTTGGCACATTATGCAGAATTTCAATTCATAAAGATATTTTAAAAGCAAAAGACGATCAAAGCAATTACATCCAGCCATCCTGGATAAGTTTATTAAAAAACCTCGCAGACTAAATTTTTCATACAAATGAGTCTGCATGGCTCATTTTCACTCTCTAATGCTGCTTTAAGCAAACCAAAACAAATCTTTGAAAATGTATGTTTTGATAATTAGTTATTGCACTTGATACAACCATTTGTCTCCTCTGAAGCAGATCAGCAATAATCACTAAACCAAATAAACTGCGCTTAAAAATGTGCTCGCTAAAGGTTAAACTTTTCTGGAAAAATTGTGAAATGGTTTTAAAGGGTTGGAAAAAGACCGGATAAGATGAGAATTGAGCATTTTCATTCTTTAAAAATGTCCCAGATGGTCTCCCATTTCTAACCAAATTCCTCTTTTCAACTGAGGTGTGAGGGCGAGAATCTGGCCTTAAAACCAGACTGCTCATTAAAAGGCTCTAATGAGGGCTGTCTATGTCGGAATCACATTTTATAATTCCAGAGTGGATGTGTTGTGTGTTTCCTAGGCATGCTGATGAGCCCTGACATAGGGCGAAACAGTCCAAGACTGAAGGATATTTGAAAAATAAATTTAAACGGTTGTACGAGGCGTGACGTTCCATGTTATAGCTTCGTAAATAAAAACCAAAAAAAGCGTTTTCCGGGAGTTTAAGGCATTTAATTTTCAAAATTTTTGACGCTCGGCGCCAACCATGGTGGCGCCTCGTGGGCTGTGCACTAGCGTATGAGCATGACCTTGTTATCTCAACCAGCTTCACCACTGATTCCAGATATTATGTACTTTCTGCCCGAATATCATGGGCCAGGATTGTTTAATGGAAGTCTCGCAAGCTCAAATTGATGAAATGGAAATACATTGTCAAATGGAAGAACTAGAAGAAAACATTTTTCACCAATATTTCATTTACGTAATGGAAACAGAAGGTTTGTCGTATCCAAATAATGAACTAGATGGTTTAGAGTTATACCGAAGATTGACATTATTACAAGAAAATTAAATGTAATCAAGAAAAACATTAAAAATTAGTATTAAAAGCTACATTTTCAATTAAGATTGACTTTGAACATTACTATCATGATAGTATTGATGATTTCGTAATAAATAACGTTTTAACACACAACTAGCAAGGTCCTTTTGAAACAAAACTCCCAACTATTTTACAAACAACTTAGTAAGATTGCTTTGATAATAATCAAAGGGAAACAAAAAATATTCAACAACTACCTTGCTCAAACTTATACAATGGTGAAATGCCACGCATCTTTGTTTGAAAGTAATTCACTGAACTCTTCAGATAGCTCACTGTATGATTGATATGTTGAAGGGATCTCAAGTAGGGGCCCACAAGTGTGAACAACTGGTCTACGAGCTGTGCCCTCCAGAACAGTAAACGAAACCTGTATTCCTTGAGAACCTATAACGTCGCTACCCGTGACAAACTGCAAAAACAGAGACAACATGTTTCCTTGCAAGGACCTGATGTATTTCTTTAAATAGTCTATACATTGTCTTTCTTGGTCCGTTGCAGGTGAGGATTCAATCAATTTTATCAGTTTTCTCGTTGTTGGTTTTTTAGTATCGTACATCTTGTTTAAAGTGTCAATGGATTGGAAATCTGGAAAAATCTTCAGGCATTGAAGAATAGAAGACCAGCAATTCAAAATGTATCGCGGTTTTTGGACAATCTCCTGATGTGCAATTTCCGACATAATTTGCTTTATATTTGTTTTCGATGGGTTACGAAAGCACTTATAATTGCTCAAGAATTCCAATACGTCTTCTTCACCTGGAGCGTTGTCTTCACTGAAACACTGGTCAAAAATCTCTTTTTCGTCCTCTGCGAGACACTGGCAGAAAGATGACAATAGAAATTCATTTGAAATGCCATCATCACCAAACATACAGAATGACATAAAGCCAACTGACAAGGACAATGGATAATACCCATCTCTGACGTAACCATAAACCAAAATACGTGCAATTGCTTCCCACTCACTTTTCTGGTAGTCGTGTCTTATTGTCGGGATCTTTTCCTGAGCTCCAACAGCCAATGAGGTGAAAAAATGATTCCAAAATAAGCTAAGGGCATCACGAAAGACACCACCGCCTTGTCCTTCTTCCTCCCTGCCATTGTAGCCAATAAGAGTAATGCTGAGATTACTATTCAAGATCACTTTTTCTTTAAATGTTTGGATCATATCGTCTCTAAGAAGAGTTCTTCTCCATACAACTGGGTGAACAGGGCCCTCTTTTATATTGCATGCCCAATCCTCTACCATAAATAGACTGCCGTGGAAAAGAGTATCTATGAAAAAATAGCAAAACCAAAATTTGTACAGAATATGAAACCATCATAAAGACTAATATGCATAAGTCGTATATCATCGTAATTGTCATATTTATGTGACATATATGGAATTATGGTGACATTTCTTTTGCTCTGATTGGCCATTGACAATTACGACAACATAAAAACCAACTTTCAACTCACAAACATACCACAAACATTTTCCATTTCTGTTGAAATTAATGTCAAACTTTCATTTTCATTCTCTTCCAACAAAGTACTACCTGTATGTGAATGCAATTAATCTATGAATTTCTGACAATGTAGCACAGGAAGTGATTTATTAAACAAGTGTAATTTAAAAAGTGCAGAAAGTACTAAACTTCAATGGGCTACGTGAATCTTTTATGAATAAAAAATCTCGGCAAACTGGCAAAATATGCTAAGCAAACGAGCAACGCAGTAATCAGCATTACCATTTGACCTTTGCTGCATATGCTGTGTTAGTTTTGAGAAAAAAGAAATAAAAAAAATGGTTTGAGATTGTTTCACAACACAAAAAACAGGTTTTTACCAGCAATAATTAATTTCTAGAGCCCCTGAGCATCCTTGCTGCATTGCTCGGTTTGTAATTATTTTGAACAACAGATCCATGCACAAAACTGTAATAAATATGTAATAACATACTTTCAGGCATTTCAATGACTTCACTTGAATTATATGAATATTCAACTTCATTGATCATGTTTGACTCTTCGATTAAATCACCAATGTTTGACTCTCCACTTTTTTTGCTCTTTTGAGTAGTGGTGCACATACTTGACTCCAAACTAACTTCTTCCTCTGCAATATTGCTGAAGACTGATTCCCTTGATTCCACACAAGACATGATTGTGTTTGACTCTTCAGGGATACTACTTAAACCTGACTGTGCACTTAAGTTGCTGATATTTGCCTCTTGAGTAATACCATGAGCACTCGACACTTCAACTATAGTTTCCAAATTGTTGGCATTCTGCAAGCTCAAATCATCATCACGAATTTTTGTCAAGCACTGTGCAAAAGAAAAAAACATTATCTTACAGCAAAAAATTTATTTATGGCTGTATAACACGTAATGATGATAACATTTGAGGGCAAACACACATACTGCTGGAAGTTTGAGAGGAAACACATTTTGGGTTAACCATACCAAAATTAGCAGTACATGATAATCATAAAAAATTGAGACAGACTACCAAATAATGCCAATGAGGCTGTAGTTTGGTTTAATTTTCTATCTCCTAAAGTGCAAAAGGCATACTCTTCGTTAGGTGAAAACCTTCACATAATTACAATAATTTAATGGTGAATTATTACCTCATCAACAATATTAAGATCAGAGTCACTATTGACTTCACTGCAATAAGATGGCTTGCACAAAAATTTTAAGTATTCATCAGTTCTACACACGTGAAAAGTAAGGCGGGAATACTGTTTTCCAATTTCTTTCTTGTATCTTTCCAAGGTAAACGGTTCACTACTTCCAGGCAAGTTGCAGACTCTGGTACGATCTGGATATAAAAGAGTAAATCCAAAAGGTTCACCAGATACTTCACTGTTAAATTTCACGATTTTCTCAGAGGCTTTCTCGAGTAATTCTTTTGCGCCAATCGTTGGGGCAACAATCAAAGGTAACGTACTTCCTCGAACAAATTTTAGATCGTCTTCACGAAATCTTCTCAATCCAACATTGATATTCACTTTGCTGGGTGTTCTATCTTTTGTCTCATTATGTTTTGCTCTTTTAGCTTTGGGACGAAATCTTGAGCTTCTTTCTTGCTCCTTTCGTTTCCTGTACTCTTTGAAAGACACAGGAGTACAAGATTGGCCAACTGTAGTGGTGCTCGCCGTTGATATAGTCAGATTTGAGTCAAACGAATCACAAGCATTAGACGGAACATTTGTACCTTGATTTTTGTTGATATTTTTTATCGGACAAGCTGCTGAGTTACTTATGTCTCCAGACGTAGTATGACCACAGAGGTGGCAAAATTTTGCTTGTAAAAACAACAAACAACCGCACTGACTCAAAACATTATATTCCCTCAAATCTCGACCTTATAATATCATTATTAGGCGATATGCCATGCCCAATTAAATACAGTGCTTCCACGATTTAAAAGTTTGCTTCCACGATTTAAAAGTTTGCTTCCACGATTTAAATGTTTGCTTCCACATTTAAAAGTTTGCATCCACGATTTAAATGTTTGCTTCCACAATTTAAATGTTTGCTTCCACGATTTAAATGTTTGCTTCCACATTTAGACACCGTCCACACGTATACGGATATTTTCGTATCCGCAACTTTTTTGTTGCGGATCAGGTAGCACAAAAAAATGTTGTTGCGTCCACACGTATACGGATATTATCCGGATTTACTCTAGTTCCCATGACTTTTAGCGCTATCAGTTACCCGCACATATTTTATAACTTGGCGATAAATTGGTTAGCAATTGTGAATTCGGTCAGTGTTAAAGGTTTTTCGGCTTTGTCTGATTAAACATGTCATTATTTGGTCAGAAATCGAAGAAAAATGAGAAAAGCAAGACGGACTCCTTTATTTGGAGTGATGATGAGGTCGAACTCTTACTAAAAGTAACATTAGAATATAAAACATCCAACGCTATGGAGAATGTCGATTGGGAATCGATCAGAAGCAATTATGATGACATTTTTAAACGTTTCATTGAGCAGTATCCTTCGTCGGAAAATGCCCTGATGATGGGGAAAAATTACCCCCACCCAAACGAAGAACTTTCCAAATCAGTGTTGACATCCAAATTAAAAATTGTTCGAAAGAAGTTCAGGAAGCTGTTGATTCAGGTAGGAAAAGTGGACATGGCCGCGTAGTATTGCTATACTTTGAACTATGCGAGCAAATATGGGTGGTTCTCCTGCCACAGTACGATAGCAGATGGAATCGAGACCGCTGAAATTGACGACGAACACAGCTTGAACCCAGAAAGTCCATATTATATGCTTAATGGAACTATCAGCCCTGAATTAGAAAATGAAAATAGCCCTGGTGATGCAACTAGTTATGCTAACATATCAACAGACAATGTCTCAACCTCCAGTAGCTCATCTTCCAGGGGTCAAGTCAAAGAGAGAAGGGACCTCCTTAATGCAAGATTACAAGGACACAAGAGTGAGAAACTCAAAAGAAAAATGCCTGTTGATGCACAACTCATTAACATATCACATGAAGAACTTCAAATAAAGAAACAACTCCTAGAGAGAATGGATAACAACATGGACAAGGCTTACTCCAACCAAATGGAAAAGCTCTCTAGTAACATGGAAAAACTCACTGATTCAATATCTGAAGGATTTGTTTTATTGAGGCAAATGATGTGTCCTGCACCAGGTGTGATTCAGCCACAGTACATTGCTCCCCAGGCAAACTACAGCATGTTCAACTACAGCAAAACACAACATGCTTCTCAGCTAAACACTCCAGCGCACATAGCGGACAATTTTGAACTCTCAGTCCTTGTACTCAGACAATGAGAGTAGTTTTAAGCTGTAGTAAGGAGATATGTTATATATTAGATATTATTAATTTCTTGAGATTTATGACATTGAAAATATTGTTGGTTTTGTTCAAAGTTTATAATACATCTTATTAAAGATGATGCATACTGTAAATGATATATAAGGTTATAAAATATTATTGGTATATTTAATTATTGCTGGTATATTGAATTGTTACTAGTATTTTGCATGCACTCTGATGATATAATTAACTGTACATTTATGGAGCAAATTCAACCAGAAGTTTATGGTAAGTTTCTCACTCTAAGTGTTGATGAAACAATTCAAACAGAAAAATTACAGTAAAAGTTGACAAAACAACGAAAGTTATTAGCTACATAAAGGCCTGCAACATGATGCTATTTTGATGCAACTTGAAACATTAATTTGCTTTTAATTGAGTAATGTAAAATCAGCTAAAAGCAGTTTTTGCATTGTGCTAATGAATTTATACTAATGCATATTCATCAACTTAACTCTTTCTCTTATTAACATGTAGAATTTTGCTTCAAGTTACAAGAGATAGCACATCATGTAATCTGGCTGAGTGAATACTGTATAATTTTAAGGGTCAAAATAATTTGTGAGAACTCTCCTTATTTTCTTCCCTTCAGCTTCATTACAATCTGTTCTGTAGTTGTTGTGACTAGGTGCTGGCTGAAAGTGGCTATCATAATCAATAGCTGAACAAACTTTGTCTTCTCCAATAATCTCTTTGTGAACTTCACAAAAGTTGTGAAGGACAAAACATGCATAGACAACAGTAGAGATATCTTTAATGTTTATGTCCATTGCCCTCTTCAAAGCCCCAAACCTTGCTTTTAGACGACCAAATGCGCATTCAATCACCATTCTTGATTGGCAAAGGGTCATACCACAGAATAGATATATACAGAAGCGCCACTCAGCGAAAAATCTGTCCCTACTTGTACCCAGTTCTTAAGTGCGCATCTTTTGCGTCCGCCATTACTCCAGCCAGATAAACTGGCCAGAATGTATATAGATTAATATTATGAAGAGTTGTTTTTCGAAAATTTGACGAATTTAAATTCACTTATGGACAAAATTTTTAATGCCATCGGATAGGATACCAAGCATATGAGGTGAGAAACAGTTTTGTTGTAAAATACGTTCTTCAAATATAATTTTACGGGTTTTATAGTTTCTTCCCTTGAATTGTATGCGAGATCCATGTTTAGAACGTCTCTTATATTGAACGGCAGTTGCCCTAAGAATTTATAATTTAGGACAAAAGTAATAAATATATTTAGTGTGATTCCATTTCTGTATTTTCTAGTAAAGAGTTTCCTATTAGAATGGTCAACGGATTTGATAGAAGCGATAAAACGACCTACTGTGCGTAAAGAACGTTCTTCAGATGAAGACGTTATTGGTATAAAATTTGGACTAAACAAATTTATATTTGATTCTTGAATCGGGGCTTTTTATTTGCAATGTAGCTTGTCTGCATAATTGTAATTGAAAGTTTTTATTTGTAATTGTATATTGAGTTCTTGTGGCTATCATTTCTGTCAAATTTGTATTAACTTACAAATAAAGATGTTTTTTGTTGCCTTATTTTTAATAAACAATATATGAAATTACAATTTTTTAAAGAATGAAGTTATTGATAAATTGTTACAATTAAATTAACAACTTTACCATTATGTCAAACATATTGTCAAGCTCCTACAGCTTACCTCTTTGGTTAAACTTCACTTGTGAGTTGTGACCAACAATTGTATGTGAAAAATGATTAGAATTATGTTTGATTCACTGCATTGATCAACCAGCAGAGAGAAATTATTGCAACAAAGGGTCATAAACTTCATTCAGTAAATTAAAATTTTTATTGTAAGTAATCATGTCACGAACAGAACTTATTCTGACAAAAACCAGTTATAGTTACTCTTAATGCCATTATTTAAATCGTAATACTTTACACAGTAAAATGTTTACCAAAAGGTGAAACACAGATACACCAGAAAACTTTTTTAAAACATTTGACAGGGGGAAACTGCCAAGCCAACACCAATCCAATTCACAAAAGCATTCAGGAAGCTTTTTTATGTTCACTTCTCACATCATCAATAAGCATCCATGTCAAATATATAAATAATCTCCTGATTGAATTTAAAAAGGCAGAAATAACAAAGTTAAATCATGTGGACCATATGGCAGTATATGTTTTACAAATTGCTATTCAAGCACTTTATTGGTGGAGGCCAACATGCTGCTGCTTATGTTCCAACTTGCTCAAAAAGTCATTCAAGCTTCACAAGTCACAACTGTGATGAATACAAAATATTTTGGCATCAGATGACTTTCATAGTGGCCATGCAGCATCGCTTCTGATAGTTTAAAACACCTGGGTAGACAATTTTGGTGATTCGAATGTCCTGCCAAATGTTGTTTGCAATATATAAACTTAACTGGAGGATAATTTGATTTGTCACTTGTTTCAGCCACGACCGAGATTTCAAATGTTAGAACAAATGTCTTCAAGATTCTCTGTAGAATTCTTATATGATAAAATTAAAACTGACGACAAACCATATACCGAGTACGCATCTCGTCAGATACATATTTACTTTGTAAATATTCCGAATAAACCCTCATTTATCAAAACGGACGTCGAATTAATGATAAATTGTTGAGAGCTTGATGTGTTAACTGTATCCACACAAAAAAATATTTAAAAAATGGCCAATCTATAGAAATATTTGGGTTTATTTGCCAAAACCCATCCGTAGAACTATATATTATATTGCGATCTGGCTGCATTCATCTGGCTGGAAACATGGCCGCCGTGTAAAGTTGCCCGGATGCTGCGGACACGAACATCAAAGGTTCCGACATCGAGTGGCGCTTCTGTATATATCTATTCTGTGGTCATACCAAAAATTGCTCCTGAACTGTTGAACCTCCATTTGAGTATTCCTTCATGAGGTATGGCATAAGGGGATAGGCTGGATCTCCTAACAGGAATACTGGAATGGGATTCTCATCTGAAAGTATTTGTCGTGGGCATGGAGGTATTTCCCTACTCTTAAGAAAATAATTTAACTTTGAGTTGGAAAATACTCGGGCATCGTGAACACTCCCCGGCCACTTGACGACGACGTCCATAAAGCAATACTTATAGTCACATGCAGCTTGAACATTTAATGTATACCGTCCTTTTCTATTTATGAAATCTGTGGAATTACATGCTGGTTGCCTAATTTCGATATATGCCGTCAATTGCGCCCAAGCATTGAGGAAAGCCGTGCAATCTGTGGAAGTTCCTGATATGCCTCTCAACATCTTCTTTTGTGAATGGCAGTTTAATATATTCAGGTCCAAGTCGAATCGTGATAGCTTTACACACTTTACGAATTATTTTGGATACAACTTGACACGATAATCCAAAGGCATTCGCTGTTTTTCGCATACGTCCCTCGTCACTTAAGTAATAGAGTGTGACCGCTACCTGCTTAACCACATCTACTGGGGACCGCATTATTGTTGTCTTGCCTTCTATGTATGGTCTAAGTTCGTCAGCTAATTCGTGGAGAGAACGTCGACTCATGCGAAAATTTTCACGCCATTCTTCTTCTATCACAGTTTGCCTGACAAAATTGTCCCACCAAGCGCTTGTACGT